CACCCGTAACCAAACAGGGAACACGCAACACGACACACGATATACCCTGAGAATAAGAGGAACGACTCCCATAGTGGTGGAACTATGCACGGTGTTAGAATTGGGACAGATAAGATAAATAACCTTAACAAGTTTTTAGTATATAAATATTTAGTATAACTGGCGAACATTTTTAAATGCTTTTTAAATTTTACAATGACATAATGGCAAGCAATGGAATAGATTAACGTAAATGGAGCACCTGATGAGGCACTATAGTGCCGAAACATGCTGTGAAATAACAAGTGAAATTGAGTGCACTAAAAGACGGACACTGCATACATATCAAGGACGAAAATCAGTGCAACAGGATGCTAAAATACAACATTATGATACTGTACACATTTCTCTATTAATATGGCCATATTAATTTTATAGCATTCTGCTTGAAGAACATGTTCAAGTTCATTTAGAGATGTTGGAGGTGGGAATCTGTTCCTCACTCTAGTCTCCAAAACCGACCAGAGTGGTTCAATGATGTTCCAATCTGGTGACTGTGCTGGCCAGGGAAGATGCTCTTCATGCTCTTCAAACCATGACTGGGGGCACTATCATGGTGGTAAACCGCACTGTTGTTCGGAAATAACATCTGGATCATGAGATGCACCTGATTACTCAATCGGCCAACTTTAACCATCCCCCTTTTCCATTGATACAATTCTCAGTTGTCACTGCAGCCATCTCCTGATCTCTCCTTGTTATCATGCCGGTAACCTTCTGCAGCTCACGGTGAAATGGGTAGGTTAATTGGGAGTGAATTTTGGGTGCCAGTAAGCTACTTGAGTGCTTACAACTGGGAGGATTTCAGGGCAGTGGAGTATGGAGTTCCAACCGGTTTGTTCAGGTGCCATAGAGATGGACTCTGTCCTGGGCATATTGCACATCACTCTGGCATGACAGGAAGATGGTGATGCTCACAACTCCATGAACAGTTAAGTTACACTCAGGATGTGTAATTATGCTTTATTATGTTTGAAATACCAAAAACGATGCTTGTAACACTGCTTATCTTATCCCTTCTTGAACTTAGGTTAAATCAGTATCCTTTAACTTCCTATAAATAATTTTGCCCTTTCTAGGTGTTCTTGAAGACTTAACAGTGTCTCAGCAGTTCAAGGNTTGGTAGTGTGGGTGTTTTGACCACCTACCTAAGTGATAGCTGGCAATAACTGTCAACCCTCATTTTCTGAAAGGAATATTGTTTTAGTTGGACAGCTGCATTTCGGGAAGTGTAGTGAATGCTGCATCCTTTCCATCCTGTCCTCCGGAATGCAGTATAGCAAGTCCCACATTCTGTTCACTTCTGAACACAAAAATGAGACTAAGTGCTTAATATACGTTATGTATAACATACTTAATTTTTCTTAACTAACCTCATTTATAGCACCTTACTCTAATGAATGGTTACACAAGGTATGTACTCCCTTGCAGTAATTCGGCCATGAAGGGTAATAATGGGACCAATAGAACACTGCACCACGATATTGCACCACCTCACTGTTTGAACCAGGCGTTCTGAATTTTAGGCTTCCTTGGGTGTTCTCCAAACATAAACTCTTCCTGATGTAGGGAACAGCATTAAGGACGACTCTTCTGACCATATCACGTGCACGTTTCCAGTTGTCTGATGTCCATGTTTTATGGTCGTGACACCATCGTTTAGGCATCTGAGCATTATTTTCAGTCACCAGAGGTTTAGTGATCGCAACCCTACCATAATGTTGGATTTGTGAAGCTCATGTCGGACAGGTTTTGTGTGAACATGGTCTTCAGTTCTGCTGTCCTCTCACTTGTGCTGCAGTAGTTGTGATTTTTTTAAACAATCCTTCTGAATGTACAACCATCTCTTTCTTTCACTGCTGACAGAACAGACTGTTCCTCCTCGCTGACGTTGTCTTCCCATGATCTGTGTATGCCAACATAACCTTAGAAGCTGTCGCTCTCAATACACCTAATAACATGGCAGTTTCTGTCACAGATGCTCCAGCTAAATGTGCATCAATGATCTGCCCTCTTTCAACATCAGATAAGTCTCCCATTTTCCAATTCTTTCACACAGTCTCTCACTCAACACAATCACTAATGCATTAACACAAGCACTACAGAGCGTAAACTAATGGAAGAACATCATTCAGTGTTGCCAACCGAAGTTCTTTCAATGTAGCCAACAGAAACAAATTTTATTCTTCTGTTTCTTTGTGTTTCAATTACTTTGTTCTCCTCTGTATATTACTGTTATACTACCTTAACTTCCAAATAAACATTAAATATGCTACACAACCAGAATCCTGGAGTTAATTCAAATAAATATCTCAGCACACATTCTGATAGAACTAAACTCTGGCAGCAAATCCCAAAGGTCTGCCTTCAATAGCAAATTCCATCCTGTCATTACATGATCCTGTGCCAGTACAATCCTTCTACTGTCATCACAAACTACTTAAGATCCACCTCAATATTCCCTTCCCATCCCCTTCTCACCATCCAAGTGGATGTTTTCCAAGAGTTTTCATGACAATTCTGCATTTCTCAAACCCTGGGTTACAACCCCCCCCCAAAAGGATCACCCTTTTTGATGGGGACTGTTGAATTCCTTATGATTCCTAAAAAATATAGATATATACACAGAGCTATCTGGGAAGTCAGTGAGAATACATGTGCTTTCAGAAAATGTAGCTACATCTGTCAAACCATTTCTCAAATCCTTTTGTGACTGTCAAGAACACTTCATAGCTTACTGTACATGAAGAGGGGCTGTAAATCTACCTAGGTTCCTACAGGCAACACACAGACTGACAGGGTCCTGCAACAATGTGCCGAACCAGTATAAATGGAGGTTGTCAAAATTTATGTGTTAATTTTGAGGATCATAGTACCACAGTTTGCCTGCTGTGCACATTCCTGTCCCCTTACAACAGTCAAACTACATTCATTCTGATTATAAACACTGTATGCATGACAAGTTCCATCTGAATACACTACACTTCAGAAACTGGATTCACTTAGGTCCTCATGTAAAAGTCAGGGGAATAGGGTTCTCCTCGGTTTGACCTGTCAGAAGGAGTAAATCTTAATCTTCAGACAAGACCAACTGCGTGAGATCCTTTATCCTATTTACACCTGGGGTCAGAAGTAGATCAGCTTCTGCAAAACAGTCTACTTTAAACATATCTAAGACAACAGACAACATCCAACACAATATTTATATACTGGCACTTAATAGGTTAAAATAAAGAAGCAAAATGTTGATCATATGGACTAGGAAAAAGGGCAATAAGAATGCGCTATAATGAACTTATGAACTGATACATAGGGGCTACGTTAGAATGAGTCATACAAGACATGTATACCCTTTTTGCAGTAGGTGTCTGATGATTCTGCAATTCACAGATCACTGTATAAATTTACTCAATCTGATATCAACCACTGGTAATTTCACTTGCAATATACTTCTTCCCGCCTTTACTAGTCTTAATATAAACGAAGCAAAATATAATATCCTTCCACAAAATAGTGAAATGCATGCAGATCATATTTTGGAATGGCAAAATTTTTAAGATAATGGTTGTCTTTAACAAGTGGTTACGTCGCTACGGCATTATCATCTATAAAAGAAAAATTGTGAATATTTACCACAAAGAATGCTATAACAAAAGAACTGTCTGATGTGAACTAGTCTGAGCCGCTTTATTGCCACTTATACAACACCTCACAACACCATTCGCAGTTGCATGCTTGTCCTATATCATGTAACAATGATCTATAGAGACGAAATAAATAAATAAAATAAATATCTACCTTATCTACTCGATCTACTCTGTGCGTTTTGGGTTTGCGTTCGCGAGAACGAGAACGACCAGCTGTAGGAGCTGGACATTGGAGTTGGAAAACACAATACGAATATGTGCATACGCGGCTGGATATATAAACAGAATTCCCTTCACTTTTAGTTAATTTATAAGAGTTGAAGCTGTTCTCTGCTATAGATGAACTTATCAGTGTCATTCGTTTTTCCCACTTAGCTCACTATTTCCTAAGGATGGATGAAAGTTAACCTCTTTATCGGTAACGAAAACCAGAGTAATAAATTCTAAATGATTACCGTTATCTTCGCCATAATAAATTGTGAGGAAGTGTTTGATACAATAGCCAGTGTATGTTTACCGTTCTGCAGCATTTACGTGAGCATGGTTTATGAGGTTTATGAGACTGGAGTCTTTACGTTATATTGACGTACATGACTCAACTCCATGAAACTGTATCGAGGTGACCAGCTCTAGAATCTCCACGATCGTGAGAAGACTGGCATGCTCCGTTGCCTGGAAACTGAGTTTCTGAGTCTCCACGAGTTGTAACGTGTCAAATTCGTCTATTATCTGTGATTGTAATGGCCGGCAACTAACGAAATTGAGAGTTGTGATTGGTTAAATTGAACCTAATGGGACGCGGAGTAAACAATATCCGGTGATGAAAGTTATGTCTTGTTTGAAGAACTATGAGTAAATACTTTACGATAAATTAAGTGAAAGTAGCCAGACCATGAGTAATGAAATGCATTTGTAAGTGACGCATGCCAGTAATTTGTGTGCCTGAGAAATGCCACCTGTGTCAGGGGGGCCCTCCGGCTTTGGAGAACAAATTGAGGTTAGACGTTTGTTTTACGGCTGTGATGTAAATGTAATGTAAAGTTTCAAGCATTCCCAGTACACTGAGTATCTAAAAACAAATTAAATGTCATTTCAGGACTATGAAGTTCTCAATTTGCTTGGAAAAGGAGGCTTTGCCAGCGTATATCGCGCAAGGTGTTTGAAGACGGGGATTGAAGTTGCTGTTAAAATGGTATCGTGACATACAGAAGTATTTAGTCAGTTTTATTGAATATATTTGATCAAGATTCAGATCGAATAATTGGAAAGAGCTGCTTGTTCCTCATGTAACTCCGTCTCTGGCAGTTTACGTTTATCCACCCAAGTAAAATGACATGTTGCCAATGGAATCTGCTTCTGTCCAGTAATTTCCTATTGTGCTCCTGACACCAAACTGTTGTTATAATACATTTATTATATAAACGATTTCAGTCTATTTACTGCAAATGAACAATCAAGTGACCTCATGTTATGTGGAAGTCTTACCTTAGCTGACAAAGAAAGCTCAAAATAAGTCTTTAGTGATGAAGGAGTCAGGATCTTGATCACCAAAGAGTGTGTGTGTGTGTTGAATTCTTTGAGTTTATATCACCAAGAGTAAGGTACATTTTGACAATGTGTGCCTTTCTTAGTCTTTCTTCAAGCTTAAATTTTAAAATTTTTCTAGTTCAGTGTGCATTACATCGTTTTGTACACCAAAAGGAGACAGTGTCAAGTAACATGCCTTAAAAATTTAATTCCTGGTATTTCAGTTTTTTCTATTGGCTACTTTTAAAGCCTAGTTTTTCAGTTCAAAATTAATAAATCAGGAATAACAATGAAATAATATTCCTAGGACACGTCCAATGAAACTTGGCTTCCTCTTAGCTTGTGTGTTGATGTGTACGCAAGTCTGAGATGAATATCTTAATTTTTGTCCTTCCGCATATGCCTCTTTTTTTCTACACCCACAATTACTTGATTCTTAAACTGTTGCTTACAAAAAACTATGCAAGTAAATTGTACTTATGTCCATATATATGAGTGACAGGTTTGTAGAATAAGTATTACAATTGTTATGATTTATTTGATGTAGCTTGCCTCTGAAATATATTGCAATGGAAGCTGCCCACATCAGGGAGATAGCTTTGTTTTTAGTCATTTACAGTTTTGAAGTTGATGGGTCCATTCAGATGAAATTTTCTCAGAACTACATGAACTTGAATTTTTTAGCTTTTCTACTTTTTATGCCCCATGAAGAAGCAAGTAATTTTTTGTGGAGTTATATTTATTACAGAGTAATGCTTTTTTCATAGTGTGAAAAGAGTGATATTTTATAATATCCTTTTTGAAGAAGAAGTAATTTTTTGTGGAGTTATATTTATTACAGAGTAATGCTTTTTTCATAGTGTGAAAAGAGTGATATTTTATAATATCCTTTTTGAAGAAGAAGTAATTTTTTGTGGAGTTATATTTATTACAGAGTAATGCTTTTTTCATAG